GGGGAGGGTTCTTGAGAACATTTGAAACTTACGCTGTTTAACCAAGATCCAACCTTCATCTTGATTACTTCTCTGAGATTTTGGGCATTCGAATGCCTTATGCCCTCTCCATCCACAATTTATACAAAGGTCAAAAATGTTTTCATAAAAAGCTCTAATAGTATTTTCATCCCCTTCACCTGAAAGAGGAATATCAAGGACAAAAGATCCATTGAGATTGAACTTAACACAAACCCTTGAAAAAACAGTCCGGGACAATTCAAGATTTTCCCTATTCCAGCACTCCAGTGGCAGACCTGGCAATCTAATCCAAAGGTCAACAGTTTCAATCTACGCTTTGAGAGGATTAAAGCCAGGTCTCCACAGGAAGGTGACCAGATATTTCCCATTGACCATTCATGGGCCATTCTTAATAACCTTATTATAGTCAGCAAGAGATGAGAAAGACAACAGGTAGAAACCATTACCAATTGATTGAATCTTTGTTTTGTTGTCAACTTTCCAAGCTTTAGCTTTCTCAAGTATAGCACTGAAAGGTTCAGCTTCACCCAATATCTTGGCATAGTGACATAACGCCCAGCGCTCTTCCACTTTCTTTTCTTTCCTAAGCTCATCCATGTTGATGGCACGAGCAGTTTTGAGTAAAGAGGAGCCTGCGGTTCTGCCTTATTCGTCTTCTCTCCATGGCCAGCCTCCAAACGGAAAACCTTGTTCAATGATCTTCTAGCCTTGCTAGACTCCACTTGTGCTAGTAATTCTATTTCCGATAGGCCTGAACAGGAGAAAGCTTTTGAGTTCGTTAAAGACTTATGACTGCTTCCTCTCTCAGGGGTAACACTTATGACTGTTTCCAATGAGATTCAACCATGCACAACTGATGCGGGTTCCTAAGGAGAGCATCACGATAACTGATTGCATGAGTGCAATTTTTGGAAACTTCTCCTTCAAATTTCTGAGAAATAATTTTAGCCTGCATGTCATACCCGCTCTCATAGGAGAGCTGAGATTTGCAGGGCCGAAAACTTATCCTACTGTTTGAAAAATTACCTACATACTTTAAGTATCCCTATGATTTAGCAAATAACAAAAACTTATCCTGCTGTTTGAAAAATTACCTAAAGGTATCCTCTCTTACTATCAGCGTGCCATTAAAATCCGTTCGCATGTAATGTTATCGATTTTGCCCTTCACTATTTTTTAAATTTTCAAAATAAAACCCAACAGCAATATTTTCTCAGAACCTTAGGTTAAATTGGGATTAGAAATCCCATGCCATCACATGTGTCTGAAATTTGCAATCCCCTACAGCGTGTTAACTTGTATGAATTTACTTAGGTTTGTATTTTCAACCTACTTAAATTTAAAATTTCCTCTTCTTCCGTCGAGTAGTTTGAGCAGTTTCAAAGGACCACTATTGTTTCATTTTATCCAAGGAGTTGCCTCTTTGCTTCTTCCAAGACCACTTCAGATTGGGAAGAATTTCGTTGAAGGCCCAATTGAGTCTCCAGAATTGAAGGTGAGCTGAATCAATAGCTAGCCTCGTAGTGCTGGAACAGGGGGGTAAGGATTGTGAAGAGCTTGGTCTTTAAACTGGATTTGGTAATCTATATAGGAAAAAGATCAGAGTGACTTGTGGGAGCAATCCCATGTCAAATATAGGTTGAAGTTGTGGCTCCAGTTGAGTACGGGGTTTTACCATACACATGGTGCTCAACCGGGTGTTTGTGTTTGTATAGAAACTCTTAAATCTTGTTGCATATCAGAGAAAGGGATTCGTGAGTATGCTGATGTTGCATATCTAGTAAAAGGTTTTCCAACTTCAGATTCAAAGGAATCACTTTCAAGTTTAGCCATAAATTGTAAAACGAGTAATATCCAAACGCAGAGAAACTGGTTTCTGGTATGTAAATTTTGTGTTGAATCGGATCAAACTCTCATCTATATCTCATTTCCTACTATATTCACTCCACCAATGCCTCTTTCCCCCACCACCCCGCATTACCATACTTTGTTACATCTCTGTAGCAACTAAATAGAGAGATAAACAAAGCCACCAATATCAGAGAGAACACAAAATATATTAACAAAGCTTGAATAGAGATGGCTACGCCATTACTGCTCAAATGTAATGTGTTCTCAGAAATAACAAATAAATACAGCCACCATCAAAGTCACAGGAGGTGGCCAACAAACCAGAATCCATGAGAATTTTTTTATGAATGGGGTTTTATTTTAAAATTTTAAGAAATAATGGAAGAGAAACTGGATATTTTGTTTTTGTTTTTGTTTTTTTTTTTCTGTTAATATTTAACGATTATGGCCATTATTAAAAAACTTAAAGGTATTTTAAATAAATTTTCAAATAATAGGTTAAATTTTTGAAAATTTACTAAATAAAAGGGATATTTTAATAATTAACCCAAATAAAAAAGAAAATGCTCGATAACTGATGAAGGGAAATTTGGCCCAACCTCGCAATCACCCGACACGTGGCAAAAGCAAATAACTCGAGACAGCGGAGCACCCAAAACGAGCACCAAAAGTAACGAAGTCCGAGCTCACTACCGAGCCCGAACTCCAGACCGCTCTACCAAGAGTCCGAGCTCCCTATTAAGATCCCGAGCTCCCTACTGAGAACCCAAGCTCCCTGCAAGGAGCTCGAACTACCTCGGGCCCCGAGCCTCGCAAAGCTGTGACCCGAGCTGACCCATGGCAGTTCGGAACMCTCCCCAAACCGAGCTCAAGACATCTCGCTCGCCACTCCAGCACTTCGCTTCCGAAACACCAGGCTGACCAAACGTACCTGACACCAAGGACGTCCGAGGGCGGCGCACCTGACTGATTTGGGATCTGACGCCTGACAGCCGCACTTCA